ACCCTAGTGATATGGAAAACACCAGTGAGAAACATATTTCACGACTACTGCATATCACCTTTTTCACAGAGTATTACGCCACTTCACGCAAAACGGGTCGTGAAACTCCAACTAAATAATAATATAGCTGTTCTTAATAACAATATAAATCTGCCCGACAATGATGACCTACAGTCCACTTACAGTCGGGTAGTTGTGCATGCTGTTGCCATCAACATTCCTATGTCTAGAGGTCATCGGAGGCACCTTCAACAGGGACAAATCTCCGAGCAATACGATACACTATAATCTCACCGATGCCGCACAGTTGTCCAGAGGTAAACACCCCATCCTCGGTTCGATAACACTCGATTCGTCATCATAAGAACTACAACATTCCTCCTCCTCCTCCTCGTCGTCGTCACGATCAGTCTCCAAATTCTGGCCGATATCTACACACATGCGATAACATATAAGCGTTGTTTTTCCAGATGGACACCTCCGAAAACTCCACCCGTAAATCGATCGTACACTCCCACACGCTCTCGACCATGCATGGTTTTCACTTCAAGTGATGGTGAATCTGAGTAATCCAATACCAATAGTAGTTCACGAGGATTCTGCATTTCTGTGTACTCCCCTCCTGATACGTATCTTCTTCCCGAACCTCAAAAATGGGTTCCGCAGATGATTTGGAGATGTCTTCTTGTAAAGGGCAAGTTCGTTGTGTCGAAGGAGCTCGAGTTGAGTCCCCACATGGCGGCTGAAAAACTACACTAAAAAATCCGCTTGATCGGATCGAACCACAGATCTACCGGTTAACAACATCGCGCTCTACCTACTCAACTATACAAACACCCCCTCTCACTTTCGCTTGCTTCTCATCATCATCATGGGCTCCTATTTTCCTTCCATTGCGTTTCCCACGAGACTTGAATGGCGTCCTCAGCCAGCCGCCTGCCGACCGAAAATGCTTCTTTGATTTCTCTTTTGCGAGGGTAACTGTGGAGGCACTTGGTTGTTAAACATGTTACAGCGCCGCCAATGTACACCCCCTCACATAATCTTAGCAATCAAGTTATGCGAGACCCAAAAAGTAGGTTCTATATTTAACACTCATATTTCGGTACTGGACTCCCAGGCATGCTAGTTATACGATGCTAAAGTCTCGTGACTCAATTACTTCCACTTTACAACAACGCCACATAATCGTAGCAATGTCATGTACATGCGTACATATGATGTTGATCGATCATTACGAGTTAGCTATAGTCTCAAGGCCCCCCTTTCCCGTATATCGGTCCGTACCGATCTGTCCTGTTCGTCAATCGCGGGCTGGCCTTCTTTTGTCTCCCATAGTTCACCACCGATAGTAGAACCAGCCCGCGACTCACGAACAGGGGAGAGGCACTCGCAACGATCGATCAACATTAGGGCGTACGCATATACATTGACGTGTCGAAGCCTGACTGACGGCTCTACTAAAATTAACCTGGTCGAAATTCGATCTCCTAGTTTCCCTCATGCAAACAATTGTTAAATGAAAAACCAAGCCACGGTAGAAATCATCCAAGCTCAGCGTGGTAGAACGTGAATCCTCAACCACTATGCAATTTCTGGGGCGTGGAGGTTTTCGATGCCCATAATTTCCGAGTCCATTAACGACTCCATCGTTCTTGCTAACAAATGCAGCTATGAGGAAAAGTCTGATTTAATCTCAATTCCTTGTGTGACTTGCCTCCCTAGGGTATACTTTATAAGTCAATAACCACTTCGTGTTGACGACTCTCAGTGAGTTATCTAATCCTAACAGCAACTATGGGACATATAATCAACTGAAACCCATCATCGTTCACAATTCGTATAGAGCATACATACAATGGAGTTTCACAACCCGTTTTCCGGGTTGTGAATAAAAGGCAATATTCGCGGCGATATGTAGTAGTCGTGAAATATACTCTCCACCACTGTTTTTTATATCACTAGGGTGGTGAAACTTCATTAGAAAGCCATCTCAGATCGACGTACAAATATTATCAAAGCTCGGTCGTGTTGAATCTCCCTCCCGTGCGTGATAAAATGCTGTCGCTGTTACCGAGAACAGTACTGGCGCCGCAAACACACACAGCATAAACCTAACATAATACAGTTTCACCACCCAACAGTGATATGAAAAAAACATTTTTCACTTCTATTGATTATCGCGTTTTCACACCACTTCACGTGAGCCGAATAAAACTCCCAGACAGCTTTCAACACATCACAAGTTTTCCCCCTAAACTCACACATCTATTCGAAACCATTCTGACGTTTCCAGCCGAGCTCCTAAAGTGCCTATATGAAAAACTTCAAAAACATCTACGATAGGAAAATACTCACAAACAACGGATGCGATAAGTGCGGTACCACCAGCGCGCAAATACTTATCGGAAAACTCCTTCAAAGGGATGTACCTGTACAATGGAGTTTCACCACCCTAGTGATATGAAAAGCACTAGTGAAAAACATATTCCACGACTACTGCGAATATCGCGTTTTTCACCGAGTTTTACGCCATTTCACGTAAAACGGGTTATTGTGAAATTCCAATACAGTGTGGAGGGGAATATGCACATGGTCAACTACATGCGTTGGTGACAATATGAAAATTCTGGGAAAAAATCTTAGTGGTTTCTGGACACCTCTACCCGAACTTGTACGTGAGCTTCTGAGCTCAGCCGAAGTGAACGAATATATATTCCTCCAGCGCTACCTGTGTTGATTGGATTTTCACCACTCTAGTGATATGAAAAACAAATTTCACGACTACTGCAAGGCGCGCATATCGCGTTTTTCACCAAGTTTTACGTCATTTCCCGTAAAACGGGTGAAACTCCAATGTATTTTTTTTCGAGACAATGAACACAAAAAACGGGAAATTTCGAACAGACTGCGAGAACTAAATACACATTTGCATTTGTAATTCTCATATATCATGGAGTTTCACGACCCTAGTGATATGAAAAACACCAGTGAAAAACATATTTCACGACTACTGCGAATATCGCGTTTTTCACCAAGTATTAAGCCATTTCACGTAAAACGGGTATTTGTGAGACTCCATTGTTACTCCGCATACAAACACAGTTAAGTTCGACAAACCTATTTATCTGCTCTTTGAAATGTTCATTTATATTAATTTGAGTTTCCGCATAAAATTCTTTGGAATCAATCATCGCGTCATCAACATCTTTGCCCTCGGTCGGCAGCGTTTGCAGTGCTTTCACTCTGAGCAAAAAAAATCACAAAAAATAAATTTTTTCTGTCAATTTTTCTCACCTGTCCCACAAAGAAGGTCCACCCGCATTCCTAATTTCGTTTTCCGAGGGTAGATAAATTCTGTATTCTTCCAACAGGAGCGCGCGAGCAAATTTCGATACACAAACCTAATTTCAACAACTACAGTTTCACGACCCGTTTAACGTGAAGTGAAGTAATACTCTATGTAAACTACAAGACGTCTATGCTTACAATCGTTTTCCGCAGAACTAAATGCAAAATATGGTTTTTTTTTCACCAACTCCATTGAAATTTATTTTTCTACTGCATACCATTCGCCGACCTGATATACACTGGCCAGCCAAATGCTGAGAAATGTGAGGCAAATACTCCACGCGATATTGAACATCCATATGTCGGACCACGCCGATACCGCGTCGCTCGGTGGGAAGCCCTCAGTGAACCTATAACAGTGGAGTTTCACCACCCTAGTGATACGGAAAACACTAGGGAAAAACATATTTCACGACTACTGCATGCCGCGAATATCGCGTTTTCCACCGAGTTTTACGAGCCACTTCACGTAAAACGGATGAGACTCCATTATCATCATTTGGAACGCGAACGGATAAAGGGGTGGGAAATTCGCGGAAAATTTTAGAGTTTGTCGCGTTGTGAAATTGAAATTCGCCCCTTTTTGCGGTTACTGTCTTGAAAAAAACAGAGGAGTTTCACCGATGATTAAAAACACATTTCAGTTCGATGCGAAAAATGCATATGAGCAGTGAATAACGCGTAAAACACGTGATGTGTTTTACGTCATATGGGGTTATTCACCAAGTATTTTCAAGTCACTTCATATCGCAAATACTTGTTTCATGCCACTTCACGTAAAACTCCAAAGAAGTGATACTCGAGTGATGACGACCGC